TAGTAAATAATTTAATAATAAGTACATTTTTACAAATATATTTAAGTAATTTAATATTTTTGTTAACAGTTTATAATTCAACTATTCTAGACGAAATAAAATCGAATATTGACTACTATACTATAAGCTATGAACTTATCTCTCATTGTCAATACTGAAATTAATCATTACTAAAAATTCAAAAAAACAAATATTGTTCACGATTAAGCGATGAACACATGAATGCAGATTTAATGTATCAAATCATTCTTAAAATCCAATGGTCGGAAACCTTTTTGGTCCCTTGAGCTATATTCACAAATTAAAAAGTGTTCAAGAGCTAAACAATAAAAAAAATTGACATTATATTCAATGAAATTTCCTAGTTTTGGAATTTAATGCGTGCTGTATAAAAATACGTGTGGGCCGGATGCCACCCACGGATATAATCAATAATAATCACATTTAAAATCATAAAGCATAATTATAATCAATACTTAAAAAAATAAATATATTTATATACAGAAAGATAGAAAGATATAAATAATATAGTGAATATAGAAATATATAGATATAGCACGGTATTCCGCAAAAACTATGATATCCGAAATTAAGTTACATGGCACATTATTCCTGCCCAGCCTTCAATTAATGAAGATCGACGACTTCCGAATGATAACACTGTTAAAATCTCTTGTTTTATTTTATTTTTTATTTTCGTATAATATCTGTTTATATTTTATATCAATAGAAAATTTATAATTTTGTGCATGTTCTCCGTTTAATAAAATATTCTTGTTTATTTTATATACCCCCTGTGCAATAATGTGTACTATAAACATACAAGGTATGTTTCCATATAATATGCAACATTAATTTGAATGTTGAATTTGCGTTAATGTGATGTTCCTGATACTGCTAATGTCCGGTGTTTATAACAAAAAGTTATATTTGGGTTACATTGTAAACATAGTTAGAACGTCATATTCAAACAATGAAACCTACTAATAATTGGAAAACAATTATAATAAAATACCACAACTCGTATGAGGGTATCGAACTCCGAACACCGACATATCTACCTAGACGGGTGTCTAAATCCTACGCGTTACTACCTATCGGCTATCCTAATCATATTGACATTAGGTTTATAATGGACGATATTTAAAGTGAATGGAAATCGATGGTTTTCTGTCTTTACTACCATACGAGCACATTATGTATGACAAAATAAGTAACTGATTTTTAACTAAGTTATTTTTTAATCAACATAAGACATGTAGTCTAAAACTGTCTTATGACGTGACACATCAAATAGTATGCATACGGACATTACTCTTATAAATAATTGATTTGATACCCCTTGTATATTTAAATATATTAGCTTATGGGTAAAACCAATAGAGTATATTTTTATAGAGTGCAAAACTATTTATTTTAAAATAGTATATTTTTTTTTTTGTGAAAAACTGAAACATCGATATTATTTTGCTGGTACGTATTACAAATCACAATAATGTAACAACCCTGTGACATATAATTTATAACATTGTAGGTCTGTACAATCATATTATGCCTAGTTATATCGCCAGGATGAGTGTTAAATGTTTGTTTTATTTAGACAGAATAGATACATTGTATACATATTAAAAAGTTACGTTGATTGTACTACGTAATATGTTTGTTTCTGGGATGTGTTGAAACATCCAGTGCACACTGGGTAACATGGGATAAACTATACGAGAGCTTACAATAGTTTTATATTACCAGTGACAGCGTTTGTCTATAGTTATAACTAAAGACCGGATATAATTGCATTAAAAATATCTTAAAAATGCACTAAAAAGATGCCAAAATTGTAATAAAGATATATCAAAATTGCAGTATAAATATGTTAAAATTGCAATGAAAGACATCAAAATTACATAGTAAAATCATATCAAATATATAATCATTAATTACTTTCTTAAATAATATTATGGACATTTATTTAATATTTACAAAATATATCATTTTTCTGAATTAAAATTTATAATTATATACATCTCTAAATTGTGTTCTTGAAATTTGTATCGTCTGTTACTTAAAATATGTTTATAAAATAAAAAAGTACGTTCAACGTCGACACTTGTTATCAATGCATATTTAAAATAGTTTAAAAATTGGGTGTTATATTTAAATAAACATTTTGATTTCTTTCTATAACCTCAGAGGAAGTTTTAATTGTTTTATATCCTCTATTTCTTTCTAAGACATATTTTAATTTATCTTTAACTATTTTTCCATTAGGACCGGGAATATTTATAGAAATATTTATACTAAATATTTTTATTTAGTAATTGTTTAGTATTTATACTAAATATGTTTAAACTATTAAGTAATTAATTATTTTATTTTTTTAAACTTGTGAGTTTTGTGGGTAACCTAGATAAATATAATTTTAAAAATCCTAAACTACATTTAACTAGGTACATGTAAAAATTTACGTCGTAGTTATTTTTTTTTTTTTTGTAAAATGACTTTGTAAATAATAATTTGTATATTTTATCACATGAAGTACACAAAAATTACAATAATTGCAAAAAATTACAAAATCGTTGAAAATTGCAAAAAATTGCATTATTAAATAATAGAAAGACTGTAATTAATCTGATTCGTATACATATTTGATCAGATTTGATTTACTGGGTATCAATGAAAAGTTGCAATATTAATTAAATCCGCTCTTTAGTTATAACTATACAGTATCGGTTTACCCATTAGGCAGAGTAGGTGCCCGCTTTAGGGCCTCACTCATTTAAGGGGCTCTGTGAAAACGGAAAACTATATATTTTTTTATTTAATAATACCTGTATTTTATTTACAAATTTACGGAACAAGTCATTATGAAATATAATATATATTAAGTTGTAGGTGTTAAATGCAGTAATAATAATAAAATTATTTAGAAAAAAATAGAAATAATATAATAATTCATTTATTTTTATTGCAAATAAAAAAATTTAATAAACACGATTTTATTTATTAATAATAGTTGATTATTATTAAAGCTATTTATTTTAATTTTTGGATAGTAATGTTAAAGATGTATGTAAAAAATAATTTTGTAGGGCCCAACATTTTAATTGCCTAGGGGCCCACAAATGTTTAATCCGGCACTGCAACTGTATCAACTAACTTTATCTAACTATACTAACTACACTAACTAACTATAGCAACTGCACAATTACAAAGAAAAAATATTTCAATGTTATATATAAATAAATTTAGGTATATAATTATTGATTCCATTAAATTTATACTGGTATCGGTCGTAATGAGAATGTTAGTGATACAATCATTCACCACTGGCTAGCATTAAATTACCACTGGAGGATACTAGTGTTGCGTACTTCGTATGTTAAAATATGCTCTGGTGCAAGTATAACAGCAGTGAGATAGTAGCTAGAGTGCGACGTGAGTACAGTACGTACTACTTTTTTTTAATTATAAATTACTAACTACATAACACAAAAATACATACGATTTAATGACATTTATTAAGTCAGAGAAAAAAAAAATGGGTACTTTTCAAACATTAAAACAATACAAAAAATAATTTAGAAAACTAAACATATTTGAAAGTGTTATTATTGAATAATATTTTCCTATCAAATTCAAAATAATTGTACAATATTGACTAAGAAGTTCGAGTAGAATTTGTTTGAATAATTTTGGATTCTCTTGTAAACTTTTAAGGGCTAACTTCATTTATCTATACTTATGACAATTATTTAATTTGATGCTTGATTTAATGCGAAACTCATCGCATTGTATTTTTACGTATTTCAAAGTGCGAGTTACTCATTAAATATTGGTATGTGCTCGGGGTCGATTTAACTAGTAATAGGGTTAACTATTTTTGAAACATTTCTAAGGCCATACATATTGCGTCGATGGTTAAAAAAATCACGAATACCTATAATATGAATCGAATCAAAATATTATTTAGTTAGATTTGCATAAATCGTGGTCAATAAGTAGGTACCAATTATAAGCAAAATAAAAATCATGATTGTTTTTCATGAGATTTGAAAACATACAGGAAAAACTATGCAATTTCATACAAATCTCACTAATGATCATTTACATTAAAACGTATTTACTTAATATTTTATAATACAAACTATTAATAATCATTGATCATTTATTTATTTTAAGGTTTCTAGTTTCTCTATTTTTATGTTATTTAAATGTTTTTAATATGTTGTTTTTTTTTGAACAAAATCTCAATTACCTACATTGAACTGTACTTGATTTGTAATTTAATTTTTTGATGTGTTCAGTGTGCTGAAAACAAAGTTTACCAACATGAACATTACTATATGAATAGCACGTCAAAACTGTAAATTATTTATCGACAGTGTTGATAAAATATTTTTTTGCTGATTCGGGTTAATTTTTACCTTCTCATTGACTCAGTAACGAATTGATCCATTATAGGACCCCACCATCAGAGTCGGTTTGTAAGAGAAAGAATAAAAAAATCAAGGTATAATCTCATGGAAATTACTCACAGATCTCAGCACGCTTATGTTTGTGGTAGTAAATTGTAGATTGAGATATTAGAACACTTCATATAATCATTTTCGTAATTATTTATTAATTTTTAATCGCTTATAATAATGTACAATGTATGATATATTATATATAAATAGTTTATAATATAATCAAACTAATTGCGAAAAAAAATTTGGAACACATAGTACGTGTCTTTGGCAATGAAAGACCGAATCTAGCGTACACATTTACACATTGTTTTCAATATAATAATTAAACAACTTGCAATAATAATCTAGAAATTAAGTTTTTAGTTATGTAATATACTAAAAAAAAAAAAGAAAAAAAATACAGAAAAAAAATTGATTCTCTTCGATTAATACAATAGTTTTAATAACTCAATATAATTATACAACATTGAATTTTAATTTTTTTTTATCTTCACATAAACAAACATTTGTTATTCCATTTATTAATTTGAATATAGGTACTTATTTACAATGATAATGTCGATTAGACAGTAAACAACACCACCCTCGAGTCATATTTTTTTTTTTTTTATAGGCACAAGATCACTTTTTAAATAACAATTATCAAATTATTAAAACTTATCTAGAAGGAATAGTGGTGTATTTACTGTAATCGACGAGAAAACTTAAAAATAATAATAATAATGATAATAATTATAATAAAAAAAAAAGACCATCGTTCATGTTCGCACACTTAAAAACTTTTTGGAAAACGTTTCGCGAACACGTACAATCTTTATATTATTATTATTATATTGTCAGTCAAACGGGGTAGACGAGGGGCGACAATGGATCGATTTATCGTTTCGTTGTGTACAGCACCGTGTATATAAGTAACACGCGGTAGAGTTAATATCGTAGGAGACATGTATATTTGTAAAACTATAAGCATGCAATAATCAAGGGGTGGGGTTTGAAATTAGAGGGGTAGTTGTTGTATCGAGGAGATGGTCGCGACATGGCTCGCCGACTCCGACATGAGTACACATATGTATATGTATACATATTACGTCATCAACACGACGTCCTGAGGTGGCGCCCCGTTGGAGTGCGCGGAATGATCGCGGATAACAACACTGACCGTTGGTGTTTGTCAGACGAGTTTGGTTGTGAGACGAGAATGTTCTGCTCCGGTAGTGCGACAAGCAGCGCTCCAACTCCTCCACAGCGTATCGTTTTTCTTTTATTACTTACGTTCCCAGCCCGCCGAGTTGTAGAACCACGAGGACGCGTCGTCACGTTTGACCCACGCCGATTCTGAACCATTCTCCTGCACATAGAACAAAACGTGACCGTCGTTGTATAATTGGTTAAAACGCAAAAATATTTCAACCGCCCCTTCACACAGGTTTACACAAGTGCCAACAATGCTCGAGATCTAATCGAGATGATCTGTTTACTATTTGGATTTCTAGCGTTGCCCGCGAGACAAAATAACGGCCGGTAAAAAACGATTTTTATAATATAACGTTCGTTGCATACACGTACAACACACATGTGTAGAACGACGGTAGCGAAATACGTACGATAGGCGACTAAATACCTAAATGTGTTAGATTAAATGAGATTTATTTTGTTTACACACACACACATACACAGAGTTGATTTGTCAACTGCTAGAAGTATGTATAATGTAAGCAATTGAGCTGCAACATCATTGAGACAAATGTTTCACGAAAAAATCTTGTATTAGTTCGTTTTACTTAAAGTTCTACCATTTCGTTATTATATAATGAGTTTTTTTTTTTTTTTTAATTGAAATTTTTGCTCGATTCAACATACAGTATAAGGATATCAGTAACAATAATAACAAGAACTTACGGCTGTTTGATGGGACGACATTGTCGGTGGTGGTGCCAAATAATCCATGTTCGAATAGTAACCGCCGTAGTTCTGGTGATGGTGCGCTGCCGCGTGGTGATGATGTGGATGGTGGTGATGCGGTTGGTGATGGTGATGATGAGATGAGTAACAGTTTCCGCCTGTGCTGCCGTTTGTCGAGTATCCTCCGCTGGAGCCTACGGGAGATGATCTAGTGCTGTGGTGATGCAAGTCGACTAAACCCGGTGGCGGTTCCGTGATCGCAGGACTCCAAATGGATCCTGGCGTGTTGCTGCCACCGCCTGTAGGGACGACATGATAAGCTTTAGTGTCGGTCAAATATCGCGTAAAGAATGTCCGGGGTGTTCAACATCGCGAAAAAACGACGTAAGCCTTACAAAAGTAAAGTGTGCGAAGTCGGCGGTTTGAAATGGATTGCGCAAGAGATATTTTTGCGTGATGAAACTAAATGTAACGAATGGAGACCGAATATTAACGATTCGGGCTTCGGAGAGAAGAAAGAGCGGTCAATTAAAGGCCAAAAAGTTTTACGCCATATCTTTATGTTGTACAGTCGAAATTTAACGATAGCCGATGAAAAGAAACATACCGATCGGAAACTCGGTTGCATACAAAACATGTTCGGACAACGTTCATAATATTGTTTTTAGAGAATCGTCGCTTCTTCTGTGACGGGCTATAGCGCGATACGCAGGACGTTAGTACATGGAAAAATAACCGATGAAAATATTGTTGATGTAACGTAGGCAAGGGCGGACTGGCTATTGAGGCGCCCGAGAGGGGGGCCAACTAGACCTATTATTATTACATTTTAATCAATACATTTTTTTTTAGGTAATTGTGCTAAACTCATCCAAATTCGAACATTTTAATAAAAAATGATTTTACCATTATATCTTAACATCAAATGTTGTGTAAGGGTAATTAATATGACACTATCGAGGGCCTAGGAGACTATCGCCCCTTCGCCTCCGTGACCGGTCCACCCCTTAACGTGTAGGTACACGTACGATTGGATGTGAAACGGGCGATAGAAAAAAATAAATAAAATAATTAAAAAATGACCCGGGGTGTAACGGTATTGTACGGTTATTGCGACTGGAATTCGCGCGGTGATCGTAGAGAAAAAAAATTACGTGTGAGGCGATCGCGCACTTACCGGAACTCGGATGGTACACGGCGGGCGGCGGTTGAATGGGCGGCGTGCCGCTCAGTATCGGCTTGATGTACGATGTGCCGCCGCCGGGCGGCGACTGGCGGCTGGACGAAAGCGACGTGCCGGTGGAGACGGGCGAGTTGCCGGCGGTCGAGCTGGTGACACCGCCACCGCCTCCGCCGCCCGCGCTGCCACCGTTGATGGTCGGCGACATTTTGTTGTTGTTGACGGACCCGTTGCCTCCGCCGCCACCGCCGCCGCCGCCGGACGATTTCCCGGACGACTTGGAACCGTTGTTCCTCGACGCTTTGTCCGTTCCGTTGTGGTGCTGCTGTTGGGTCTGTTTCACTTGTTGTCGACATTTGGCCCGTCGGTTCTTGAACCATACCTGTACACGGCAGTTGGAAAACGTTAGTTACGAGGCCGAAACAACCGTAATACGAAGCTTACGCAACGGTTTTTATATTCTTTTTTTTTTTTTTTTTTTAAGAGAGAATTAATAACGCTTTGACGTGAAAAAAAAAAATGTATATTAAGCTTCGAATGCCATTTGAATAAATATCGAGTAAGATTTTTACCAGTGCCGCAACCACCCGGAGGTGCTGGGAGTGCGAGGAACCCCCGGGCCCCTGTTAAATCATAACAAATGGACTATGACGAACGATTTAATTAAAATATCGTTTTTTTACACTGTTAAAGTAGAAAATTAAATATTAATTTTTGATTTAATCAACGATCAACATATGTAGTAGGTACTGATTTTCTTGTTGACGATCAACATTCTTTGATTTGTTGTGTCGACTAATGGTCTATGCATTATAAGTGTGACGATAATGAATAAATGCCGAGTGGCTGCAAACCATTTTTCTATTCACTTAGTGTTATATTATATGTTGCGTATGGTATTGACTATAAAGTATTATTATTTTTAAATTTATACTAGTGGCGAGCGAAGCGAACGATATTTTTTAAGGGTCTGTTGGTGTTACTTGGGCTCCACTATATTTGCTTGCACACTCACCAATATATACCAAGTCGTGGCACTGACTTTTACGCAACCGTAAAGCGAGCGACTAACACATCACATTCACCGTAACAAAATGATAATACAATAAAACTATAGAACACGCGAAAACTGAAGATCCACACCGTGAGTGTAAATAAATCATAACGATTTAAACCCACTAATATTTTATATACACTACTCGCACGTCTAAAACATGTCGATTAATAAGTGATTAATTAACAAGTTATTTACAACGTTTTAAAATTATTTAACGCATATTTTTTTAATATAATTTGTAGGATCGAGTTCGCAGTTAACATATAACGTAATGCAACTTCTGTATTATATATTGCAAGATAACCTATGTTTTCTATTTGATTTGTATTTAAAAAAATAACATAATAATTTTTCATTAATATCCGTATGATTTTTTTTTTTTACATACAGAAAAGGAATACGTACGATTTTTATGGTGTTAAGCTCCCCTCTAAAGTTATGTTAATGGTCAGTACTCGGTAATTATGCTATAAATATAATTTAATAATCATATGACATATGTGTTCTACTCTGTTTTTTCTATCTCTTTCTCACTCAATCATATCAACCCATACGCCCTGTTGCCTTTTACGTATTACATACATAATGTATGAGATACCAATATATAACCAGTTTTTCATTTTCGATTTGAACGCTTTATATTTTTATGAACCATTGAAAAGTTTTATGAATATTATACACTACTTACTACACGCGAATGAATGTGATTTTTGAAATTCGAACTTGGCAAATTGTCCAACCCTTTTTCCACACACACACACACACACCCATTCACTCAATATTATTTAACGTCTAAATTATAGAGTGTAGAGTATCCGAGTATAGAACACGTGCGTGTAGCGGCGATTTCCCGTGATAAATCGACGCCAGTGACACTACTTATACTTTGGATTATCACGCGATATACGTGTACATATTTATATGGAGTCGGTACGGGCATATCAATTTCGTGTATAGTTGGTCAAGAAGCCGTACAGGATCGACGATTAGGTCGTCCACGAGTGTCGTGTGTTGGAACAAAAAAAAAAAAAAAGCTTCTACCACTTTCTGTGCTACCTCCACCACCATCTCTCTCTCACCCAAACATTACATATACATACCGTGTGCAAGTATTATATCGATTTTATCACCACCACCACTACTACCACCGCTGCCAGCTGCCGCCACCAGCGCTGCCGAAGTTAACCTAATTTCTACGGCGCACTTTAACGAAAATCATGTAATTTTTTCACTTTATTCACGTAAAAAATAGCGAAAAATGAAATACTAGTAATCAGTGGAACATTCACGCGGGGGTGGTTTTCGATGATTAAATGACGTTAAATTCCCGCGAACACTTTAAAAACGAACTTCTTTACTTTAAGTGTTGGAAAATTATAATCCAATCTTCCATTATGTCATGGTTCGAATCATTTATGATTTCACTTTTGGTGAAAACCACTCTAAAATAGTTGTTATGAACACGCGTCGTCAAATCTTCAACTTATGTTTTTATTATTATGAAAAAAGCGAACAATTTGATAATATTACAATTAGAGTACGGTTAAACGGGTATTCGGCGACCGATTAAAGGAAATCACTGCTGAGTCTGACGATGCTTGTCAAAAGGGAAAATAATAAATCTTGAAAAACGATTTATTTGATTTTTTTTTCATTTGAAACGATCGTGTATTACGACTTATACGTGTTAAAACGCATTAACAATAAAGAATAGGAAACATTTTTAAAACGTCGATAACCCTAATGAAAAGTGTTGAAGTTATCATTGATTTCCAAGTGATGCAGAATCGTATAAGGTCAAAGGTTCGGACTTATGTCGGCGGTAGGTGTACGACCGTTGTATGTATAACACCTAAAACAACAAGAGGTACTGTCACGACGCCGGGACAGGGCTAGCTAGTGACGCGTAGCGGTACGCGAGGGGAAAATTATATATCGGTATGGGAAAGGGCGCGATAAACATCTTGCAAAGGCCCTACATGATCACACCGTATGGAGTCGCGCGTTCGAGACGTTTTGGTTCAAACTCATCCGTGCGCGCACAAAGCCGCGCATATTTGTATAAAAATATAGGAGGAGGCACACGTATATTAAAATATTTTATGTGTACCTACGATCGTCGACGTCACCGTCGTTACGTACCGTGCCGTATTTATAATCATCACGGTCGCGCGCACGCACTGCGATCGCCCTTGTATAGAATAATAATAATAATAATAAAAAAAAAACCGTCCGCGCGCACGCATTCATAATAATAATGTATACGCGCGATACACAATAAAATGTATACGAATATTTTATCGAGACAATTTATTCCGGGAGTTATCCCTTTCCGCGGCGGCGGCGGCGGCGGCGACGCAGTTGGCTTTATAATAGGAATATTGTACCAGTTCTGTTGTCGCGCACAAAACACCGGCGGCGTCGGGCGGAAAACGTGACCTCGCACGAGATGTATTCGTTTTACGACCGGTTTACGGCGCGGCCCGCGTGCGATGTACAACAGCCGCGAGACGTCGACGAATTCGTTTTTCCGCTAGCCGTTTACACTAACTACACAATCGCGGAACGTTTTCTGTACAAAAAAAAAATAAATAAATAAATCAATAAATAATATTCTCGTACCGTCCGTCGTTATTTCGCGTTATTATTATTTCGATCCCGTGTTGCGTACAACGTATAATATATTCGTACGGCGTACTCTGTGCACATTGTTCCGCGTCACGAACGCGATTCCGTTGTCGGTGCCGGCCGGCAAAAGTGCTACACGTTCTGCGAGACACCGAAACGAAACTTTGCTCGCGTGCGACACGGAATCGTACGAGATCGAGACGAGATGCACAGACTTTCGAGTTACTGGAACAACGTATGGTATATATATATATATATATATATATATGGTACACGGTGACGGGTTAAGAGAGCAGTTGCACCCGGCCGCAATTTTTAAGGAGCGAAAATGAAAGTTTTCGAGTTTTCTAATGGGGAATCGTTTTCGGGAAGAATTATTAACCGATGAAAAGTGTGTAAAGCAAATAATAATAGTAATCGCTTGGTATATCGCCTACCTCGGAACTATCAAGCCGGTGAGCGTTCAGCATATTATTGGTACGATCACATTATTATTATAGCGTTCGGAATTTTCTATTTATACCCGTATGGTTGTATTATAATTTATATTCGTCGGGTTATTAAATTTGATCTCAATAATTTTAAATTATTTATTTATACACTACCGAGCGAATATTTTTATTATTCTATCGGTCTATTGGTCTTTCGAGTCTCGTGTACTGTAATCGTAGTCTCGTTAACCGACAACTCATATTAACTGAAAAAAAAACGGGTTTAATATTTCCTATTAGCGTCTTTTCTTCAATGAATATGAATAGAATGCGCATGGTGTGCTGAATGTTTATACTAAATAATTCTATTATACTAACACTACCATAAATAATTAAACAATTTTAACGGTGTACTTATTTATATAATTTTTTTATGCTGGGTACAATGATACAATAGGTTTGTAAAAAGCGAAATTTAAAGTCTGCCCCTAGGCAACATATTCGATTGTACAATGTGTACCATGACGAGATCGAATGCGATGTTCGCTATTATTAGTCTCCGCGAGTATTATAAACGTTCCGTTTTAGGTAATATTAACTGAGGACTAAACTTGCAATTTTATTCGTATTTAGCGCTGAACTTTATTTTCATGTTTACTGTCGTGAAAACATTTAAAAACAAAACGAATACCTACCATGTACGTTTCACTTAATGACACATTAAACGTCGGGGATGATGAAGCTATAGATCGTAGTAGACTGATTTAGGATGACTTATATAGTCCAATGTATTAAAATGCAATTCAGTCATACACCGAACATTGTATTATAATCGTAGAAAAAATGTTATTGGACGTACATATCATATGACACGAAAAACATTAATAATATCATATTGATATGAAACTAGCGCTGGTATTTTTAGGAATATTGATTTATATTATAATATAAATACATCAGATATTATGACTAAATTAAAAATTGTTTGTTACATAATTTCACACCAGAATTAAAATAGATGCAGTATTCGAAAAAATAAATGTGTATGGTATACACATACACATATACACATATACGGAATGGTTAAAAGACATTATTAAACAACACACGGTATAAAAATGTAATTTTGTTTACAGGAACATGTTATTATAATGAAATATTTCGAAAGATTTCAGGACTTTACGACCCGTGTTAAACGGTAACATTACGAGCGTGAAACGTATAGGTCCGGGAAAGTAATCAGTTATTTTTCGTGAAATGGTCGGGGTTGGTGATGGTAGCTACGCAGTGTTGACGGTGTTTTTGGCACTAAGGGATAGAGGGAGAAAAAAAAGTTTTCGGGGGTAGGATCTATACTGCAATGGCGGCGATATGACCGGTAGCAGATATTTTTCGTGGAACGTGTGCGTGGCAACGATTATTCGCGAGCGCACTCAGGAACGTTACCTATCTACTGGAGAGGGGGCGGGGATTAACAGACGATAAAGGGTCGGTGAACGTTCTGCCGTATACACTACTGCATACAATACATATATACATATTATTTATACACACACACGCACGCACGCATGTACGTCCAAATAGGGTTACGGGGAAGGACGAGTAGAGTTATCCTGCCCCCTGCACGCGTGCGCCCGCGTGGCGCGGTAGATTGCGCGGGTCCTTTTCACTCCGTAGCCTGAAATGGGGGGTTGTTCGAAAGCAGACGAGAGCGCGCGCGTCTGTCCCGCTGACGTCCAAGAGGCCTTTACGAATAGGGGAGAAGGGGAAGAGAATGACATCGGTGGTCTGAAACCCGACGAAATCCATAAGCGGCGACCTAAATTGTTATTAGGGAGTTTTTGCATTTTAACTACCGGTTAAACGTTACGGTAAAAATAACGTTCGGTTAAACAAATAATTTTTATTTTTATCGTAATTCAAAAAACTTCAGTTTTTTGCATAACCGGTGAAGTTTATTTTATCGTGAGATTATAAACTGTCATCAAATTGGAATATTATTAATATTATTTACACAAAGTTAATTTTATTTTTAATTAACTATATATTAGAGTAAGAGTATAATATATTTTCTATTCTATTGTTTAATATGTATTTTATCATTTTATTCGATATTTAAGCTTTGAATATTTCCCCACTGGTTAGCACATTGTAGGGGTTTAAACATACCACTTGCCGTAATAAAACAAATCCTCTATGGTTGAAAATCGCAAACGCTCCTTTTTGTATTCCATTTTAGAAATAAAAATAATTGTAAAATACGAAAAGAAACTCACAATTAATAAGTTACACTTTCAAAAGCTTTGAAAATTATGTGTTATCATAATAGTAAATATTATATTATTTGATAACATGGTAACCGATATTACGATAACGGAGCCCGTTAAATAGTCTAAAATAACCGATTACGATAAATGGATAAGCGGAACGTTATTTTTAACCGGCATTGTGCAAAAACTCCCTATTACCGCTATGAGTCTATTAAAAACAAAACGCGACATATGTTTCAACACTATCTTCGATAGAAATCAGTAACATAAAGTATTTATGGGTCTATTATATATTTATCGTTTTAATCGACTTGTTTTATGAGAAATTTGACTCAACTTTTTTTTTCAAATTTGACTTGATACATGAACGGACTCGGAGATTTAAAAGTACCAATTAAACAGTAAATCTGTTGTACGTATAAAATAACGAACAACGATGTCACCATATTACAGACACATAATATCAACACTATAGGAACACTCTGACTAAATAAAATATCTTACAGTCTAAATAACATACTAGTAATCACTGATAAAAAAGTTCATTATAACAATTGAAATATACCTAAAGCATAAACGCCATGATTTTCGTTTAGTCATGTCATTTCCACTAACCACAGTATCGATTTAAAGTAAATAAATCTGAACAAGATTTAAGGTAAGTACTTCAATTAATTGTTTTTTATAGTTAAACTATTAATTACTTTCAAAATTCTTATTTGATTTCAAGTTTAATATTGATTTAAATCTACTTTTGATTTATTTGGTATTTATACTAGGTAATATTTGTTATGTTATTAATATAATTAAGTTATATTCATTATCTATCGATGAATGGTAAATGTAGAAAACACTAATATTAAAAGTCAATGATTAATAACAAAATTATTTAAAGGGAATTGGAAATCATAATTTTATGCGTCTGTCATACGCGTAACATAAGACTTTAACATTTTTTATTTCCAATGTATTGATTGATCTATGGATGATGCAATAAAATTATAAATTCGTCATAAGTTTACTCAATTGAGAACGACTTCTTACATTTTTTTAATTTAAGTTTCAAAAAAGTTGTACATTTCAGTTATTGAATTAAAATAAATCAAATTAAAATTTGAAATTTAAATCAATTTTAGCGATTTTATCAGTTAGTGTATTATTTATTTTTATTATACTTATATATATAACTTAATTTTAAATAATTAACGATAAAGAAGTAATTTGTTAAATGCGATGAGAAAAAATTATTCATTTACTTATATTATATTAAGTATTTATAATTAAACAAAAATCGTTTAGTGTATTAATTTATTATATATAACTAACTAATACATTTTTTTAGGGTATTGTAAAATATTTAGAGCACATTTAGTATGTGAAAGGGTCATTTTAAGTGCAATTGGTAAACTTCCTAAATAACGAATTTTAATTAGTTTCCTAAATCATGATAGTGGACAAAGATCGAAAATGTCCACTTTTAATCCTCTTAACAATAATTGAATAAACAAATTTATTTTTAAACCAATAAAATTTTAAAATATTGAATAAAAAATTGAAACTTTTGTGAACGAGATTTTCAGATATTCAAGAAAAATGTGAATTTAATTTTGAACAAATAAGATATCAATCATCTTAAGTACCTATATTAAGAAAGTTTTTTTTTTGGTTTTTATACGAAAAATATCATACTATACACATTGCAGGAAATTAATTTTAATATTATAAAACTGCATGAGTATATAGTATAAATAATGATCACTTAATTTTAAGTAAAAAAAAAAAAGAAAAAAGCAAACAATAAATGTACAGACGTTTTCATTAAAGCACTTCATATTTCAATTATTTGAAGTGCATTAATGCATTACACGTATTTTTATATTTTTTTTTAGTCAAAGTACTTCCGGATCTTAATCTTAAATATACCATACAAGTTTTGATCGATTGTTTTTTTTTAAACCCTTTTCGTTTTAACACGCGACACCTACATTATCTGTATATTAATAATAACGATTGAATCACCTGTACTCTGGACTCAGGCAGGTTGATCTTTAGAGCCACCTCCTCGCGCATGAATATGTCCGGATACCTGGTTTTAGCGAACAGCGTTTCCAGCACATCCAGCTGCGTTCGAGTGAACGTGGTTCGTTCACGGCGTTGCTTTCTCGGATTACCCACTGTATAGACACAAAGAAAAATAAAATAAATAATTAATAAAAATGTATTAATTTTAAAACCAATATTCATTAATTATTATTAATTTTATAACAACATTTCATTAAGACATATCTTGACGATTTCGAGGGGGGAGGGAGGGGGAGAATGTACTGAATGTGAGAAATAATTGAACTTTTCTCCACAACGATCAATAATTATTGGTTTGAATAAAATTACACGAGAGTTTAAAATAAAATCAGTCTTAACTTTTCAACTGGTGTGGTGATTATAAAAATGTATACGCATAAGGTTGACGTTGTAAAAATTTAAATCATACGAATGAAACAAGATAGCAGACAAACAATTATATTCTCAATATAATTTGTTCCCAACACGTATTACGAAAATATGCATTTAAATTGTCGTAATGAACCACACGAAAATCAAATTCGATTATCTTATAACGATCCTAACACATTTGTGTTAATATGTGCAAATGTACGTATAATATAGACATATAATTACGATCAATAATATCGTTGCCCTATACATTGCATCAACATTTTACGTCATAGTAAACGTGTATGGATGAAAATATTATTCGATTAAACCGCTGCGTTTATAATTGGTTTTTTTATATGAATCAAGGACTAATGACGTTATCGATGAATTCAACGTCCGTTTTTTAAAAAACACCGAACACGTATGAGTTCTCAATATCAAATGATTAAATTTGAAAATAATACTATTCAATAAACTAAAAAATTAATTTTGAGCGTAACTATTGAGTATTAAAGTACCGATGTTAAATGCGATAAAAAAGAAGAAAGGTCGTTGAGTAAACGTAATTGGTAAAGTATATTCAACAATTCAACAAATCTTGGCGAATTATATTTGATTGATTTATTACATTTAGGGTACAGCTGTATTAACTTTGAAAAAAGTTTTCTAAAGGACTTTTTTTAGAAAATAATTTTTTTTTTTTTTTTATGAATTAAACACGTTTCGGTAAAAATTAAAACGAAAAATTCGATACAAAAATATGACGATAGAAAAATGAATTTTTATAATAATATACTGGACTTTAAACAAATAACACTTCTCGGAGTAACAGTATATTGTTCCGAAGGCGTAAAAACTTCTCAGTTCCCGGAAAGGACTCGCTATTCGATTATCGTCCTGTATACACGACAAATGTATGTTATAATTTTTATAATTATTGTAACGACGGAAATTTATTATATACTTGGGCATTATCATGCACATTGCACACGTGTATTGGATTTCATCGTGTACATAAAAGCGAGTCTTATAATTTTCGATACGAATAGCGTTTATGGCGGAGGGGGATTAATGAGTTTAGCCTCCCCCACGCCCTTCTGTCGATTGGCCGCGTCCTCGTCGTTCCGATGCACGCAAAGATTTTACATTACCCTTTGCCACGCGTTTTAGAAAATATTATATTATATCCGTCAATCCGACCGCGTGCATAATATTATAATACGATGTGCGATCCCTAACCACGTTGTAGCCGAGTGATGTCGCCCGTCCATCCGGAATAAATCAATCGGTCCGCGTCTCGGGCGGGCCGACTTTCACCGCGCGGGATCGGCACCCTCCCGCGGGCGTAATTTATTGTTTGCTGTCGAGAGTTCAAAGGGTCGCGGGGTAATGATTGGGTTTATTGGATCTGTGGTGGTTAAAGAGTCAAAAGATATATAAGTACGCGGATAATGCGATTTGTATACGAACGCGCGTAATGCATATCACTGCGTTTAGTATCGCGTGAAAAGTGATTGGGCGCACGATTTTCCTTCTGTCCCCTTCGTCCTCATATTCTTGTCCTTATTTCCGTATCAATGTGTGCAGAAGAGCACATACGCGAAAAGTACAGGATTTTCTCTCAATATTTTAGTTTTCATCGACCATATATTATTCAGCAAGTCTTTGTTTTTTTCGAATGCAAGGAAAACAACGCTTTATATAAAGATTTACTTACAATAATATCGATGCTTTTACATGTAAACTATATATAATGTAGTTGGAATCGGTTGAAATTGAGTACCTTCAAAATACACATATATTAGGGTGTACCTATTGGTATGCGCGAAAAGTATCAATGTACAATACATATCAATTTTAAAACGCTATGCCTGTATATATTTATTCACAACGTAAATAAAAGTTTTGTAGTTTAGTATATAACAAATTAAATCATATTTGCATTAAAATCTCAGCCTTAGTAATAACTATGCATTTGAGAAAATTATTTAAACTCTATTTATTAATTATTAAGGTCCGTACATAATCGGTTTTATAATTTTTAAACAGCGAAATAAATTAAAATAAATTTATATTTGCTCGTTTCTTTCGCACTTTTGATAAAAAAAAGTCTAGTTTTAGACATTGTTTATTCGTATATTATATTATATTATATCCTATATTATAGGAGAACACAGTTTTATACAAATGTATTGATATTATACTACAACATGAAGATATTTCTATATCGCTGAACGCGGAAGGAATTAAGTGTAAATGTAATAAAAGAAGATAAAATGTTTGGTTTTTTATGCTAAAAAAAATATTTAGGGTAACCACCCAAATATTAAACTCCGTAATGATTTCACATTGAAAAATATAAGATGTTTACTTGTGTTCATTATTAATTATTATTAATAATATATTAATAAACACATGACCCGTGAATACACAATCATGGGTCACATGCACTGTAGTGAGACCACTGATAATTAATATACACAGTACTTATACATATATCACTGTATATTATACAAATTGTATGTGCGTAATTATTGTTTCACTAAAGTAAGGGCGTAGCCAAGAGGAGGGGACAGGGAAGCAATTTTCTCTCTGTACATAACTAATAAATACATTAATATTGAACGAAATTTTAAATTAACCCATATATGACCCAATATTTAAACTACTTATTATTTTTCAAATAATTATCTTTTCAATATAATATATTTTTAAATTATATTCTTAGAATTCAAATAGTAATTTTCTACCCAATGACACAGTTTTTTAGTTCTATGTGAATATTTTTAATATATTTTAATTTTTTTATTTTGTATTAGCCTTGTAGGTTATAAGTGAATAAGCGATGATTATAAAATAAGATAAAAAATTTAAAAATACACTTACTAATTAACCCTAAACATTTTTTTTAAGATTGATTATTCTCCTGATGCAATTCCTAGCTACGCCCATATACTGAAGTACATATATGTACACACACACACTCGTATGTATACAGATATATTATATAAAGGTGTTATTTATATTAGTTAAATGAATAAGACTACAATGACGAATAACTAGATATAGAGAAGCCAAACAATTGTTGTAAAAAATATTGGGTCACCACCGCTGCCGTCGGCCGTCGTAATTAGTACGGACGACGAGAATCGAATTACGACCAAGTCCTTACGACACGATTGTCCGTTATAGTGTTGAGCATCAAAACGGTCGCAACCCTATCGTTAACAGTGGTGTGATTCGGTTTACAAAAATACCAACAGCTCCATTATTAATTGTTTTGAGATTTTTTTTTTTTATCGGGCATGATGATTTTAGACGAAGCATAGTAAAAATCGGATTTAATTCGGTTCAGAACACAATAACATTATATTATTAATCTACACTTTTATCATCCCTATCCCATAAAAAGTATATCATCCCGAATTTCTTTTCATTTGTACTCAAAGAGAATAATTGAAATCATTGACAGATGGTTACAAATGGTGTTAATCGAATTGAAATAAAAAGTGACAAATAAGTAAATTGGGATAAATTGAGGTAAGGTTCAGATAATAAATAATAATAACAAGTGTTAGCAAATATTTTGTATACCATTATACCTAAGTATAATATAAATCGGTCTCGTGTGTTAACTTTTTTGATAAAACCTATTGATAACTTACTTTTATTGACCCAACAATCGGATTATTTCCTACTGTATGGTATTAATTTTTAAATAACCTTATAATATAATGCCCATAACTAAACATAATTGCAGTAGCGACTCAGGCTGAGATCTTTTAAATACGACACCGAAAATGTATAACAATAGTTTTGGTTGGTTACATTACATGCAATGTACGATCATTTATCAACTATAGAATATAATAGTGATTAAGAACGCGGCGTTCCGCGGGATTTTTTTGCGATACGAAATGTTGATATAGTTGAAATATTTGAATAATTAAATCAACGGAATTGACACTAGCGAGATCATATTGAAATATTTATTCGTTTTTCAGTCACATTTCGCAATCGTAGCCATAAAAATATGAAATTGTTTTGGTTACGCGATCCCACGAAGTTGATTCTTGATAGTGGATATACATATGCGATATAAATTAACGGTACAGACTACTTGGGGTGATTTAGAAAATGAGGAAGTAACTTTGATGAATAAAAAGTGAGTACACCAATTGTGGTACGATTTAATGTACGCAGAAACCTCGAAACGCGTATCGTCGGCGCCATCCGGGCGGTAACAAATCACAATAACGCCATCATATACAGTCACGAATTATAAGCCGTCGCATAGCCTACCTGCCTAACGGATATGAACGGATGTATAAATGTTGTACGCGTGTTTTATTATAACAAAACATTTCATCAGGTTCGCAGTTGGCTTAAATAAATAATCGAGAAGTGTAGTTTTGTTCGATTTTTCGACTGTCCCTATACACCGTATAAATATGACAGTTACTTTTATTAATAATAAATGGAATTCCGTTAGATCTCGGATACAAGCGATTGGTATTAATGCAAGAGGGGAAAAAAAAAAGTAAGAAAAAACACAAACATCCGCCTCAAAAAAGTGACCAATATAATTTTGTTGTATACAACATAAAATGTATTCATCATCGGATACGGGTTTTCAAAACATTCGACAAGAAAAAAAATACCGCCGTTTGTGATTTCTTCCCTTTTGTATCATTTTTGACGATCCACCGTACCCGACTACACACCACTGTGAATAGTGGGTAGGTTAGATATGCCGTTACTGACTGCGGAGAAATTCTTTGATACTATTATTATTAATTTTTTTTTTTTCACGAAATACGATTATATTAAACTGTATTTTCAATACGTTCTTAACGATTCCGGTAAAATATAATGAATATAATGCTTAAGAAATCGTGACCATATGGTTATTAGTTACTTTAATAATAATGAAATGATGTTTACACTCATACCCGCAGCCCAGGAACACTATTTTATTTTTAGGTATGGCGGAAAAAAAAAAAGAGTGTCATAGGACACTCACAGTAGGTGATTTGGAGACCGCTACTTTTGTTCCCCACAAATAGTATATGTGAATATAGAACCGTTTCGGAAAACGACAAAATATGAATCCGCGGCATTGTGCGCAAAACGGAAATCGTCGAACTAAACTATCTTGTTAATGTATATATAAGGGTCAAACATTAAGCCACACAAAATATACTGTAAAATGATGTTTGCGTAGCAAACCTCTTGGGAAACGGTTTTTAATATACAGCTAAAATATAATGGATACCTGATCGCAACAGACCACCCGTATATGAATAAATATATCAAATCAAACATGAGCAACAAGACTTTTGTCCGTTATAATATATTGAATGGGATCTCGAAATAATAGTTATATATTGTAAATTAAGAATTTTTCCCACGAAAAACATCAAAAGTAATATTTTGAACTGGGCCGTGGTAAGCTTCGGTGGTGTGTATAGTGTTTTCGAAATGTTATGAATTCTGAGCGAAAAGAAAAATAAGTAACGCGTTAATATTTTAAGTCACGTACGGCTATTTTTTCAATAAAATAATAAACCGCAAGACGAACATAATTTAATAAAAATTATAAACAGTTTTTAGTATTTGAGGTTTGAGTAAACTTTTTTTACGATTTAAACGTACTAATGTAATGCATAATAATAATGTGATGTATATAATGCAATATGTAACAAAACAAAAATATGAAATCATGAAGTTCAAGATAATCCGATTTTTTAAGTTAACTCGACGTTATTCTGATTATGTCAAAAATATTTCCCGGCGGACGAAGAGACGATTGTAATTAGTATACCGATACGAATAAATTACCATCTTAAAACAAAACCGTGTAAAAAAATTATATAACTGTGCTATTGCACTCGAAATAAATTTACGAAAACGATTATTTTTTTTTATCACACCGCATTATATACACCCGCCCGAGTGGACCGCCGGACTTTCATAACATATTATAAATCAACAAAACTTTGGTCGGCCAACAAACCAATATCGGATACATCGCATAGACAGTTGTCACAAAAAATAAGCAAAATGTAGACATCACGATGAATATACCTGTTTTGGTGTTATAATCTTTAATCGGTTTAAGTTTTTTTTTGTCGATTTTATGCTTACGGTGATTGAACAGGGACAGCGTGGTGGAATGATGATGGTGGTAATTCTGACCTGCGGCCGTCGGGTAACAGCCCATGCTCGTCTGCAGCGAATCCATCAGGCCGATGCTGTTGACACTGGCGTACGGCGACGACGTGGCCGAAGTCTTCAGATGGTACGCGGCGGCGGCGGCCTGCATGGACGAGCCCAGTGTCGGCGGTGCACCGCCCGAACCGCCCGCTACTGCGAACGCTGCGGCCGCGGCAGTAGCAGGGAATCCGCCCAAGTCCCCGCCGCTCTCCTGGCTGCATCTATTCGAGTGAAGGGAAAACAGAAAAAAAAAAATGCAAAAAGCAACAAATTAAAAATCGGTGTAAAATATTGACGATAACAGTGTAGTAGATAACAGTGGAAACAACAACAGAAATAATAAAAGCCTTAAACGCTACGTGAGAATACGGCGACATCGCTATACGAGTTACGCCATATACGTACGTCGCTGTTTTGTGTACACTCATGTATGACACCGAAAAATTGAGCTATACGTATTTTTGGGCGGACAACATTCTCGTACAAACCGATGTTCGAACCGAGGTCGACGACGTGTACCTATAATATATATATATATATATATTATATATTCGATACAATGGTTACGACAACGCTTATCGGTATAAAAGGGGGTGGGAAATGTATCGCTCCGCGCGAGCAACCGAATGACATACACGTCATGGCATCGTGTCATCTTGTTCGTAATTTCGGAAATGAACCGGAAACGCCATACACAAAATGACAGTGTTGGTCAGTGTGGCTTAACCAAAATTTTTAAATGAAACGGGTTAAATACATTTTTTGGGCGGGTTTGGTAAAAGAGAGTTCAGCCAAAATAATTTTAACAATATTTATTTAAATATGATTTGTAATAATAATAAATTAACGGTGGTCAGCTGCGGTGACATCGCCGCGATACATAAAACCCGATTACGAAATGATAGTGTAAAAGTGATTACACATTGTGATTTTCAGAAACTTGCGATAAAAAACGCAGCGTACTAACGCCGAAAAATAAAACTGTACGGTTTGCACACGGACACTATCACGGACACTGTACGCGTTCGGCAGCGGTCAACACTTCTAGACGCGCGTGCTAAATTTTTGGTGTTCAAACGCTTCGTTATTAAAACACGTACGCTAACGTTAAACTTTAGACGAGAGTCACCACAAGCATTACGATAACCATAAAAATATAATGCTAATTACGGTAAAAGTAATACGTTTATGTACCAAAAACAAACGCCCATTGTTCGTCAACAGTTTATTTTAAAACTCTTCAATATCAAATATTACAATAATAGTACAGTATACACACATAAACACGACCCATAAGGGAGCCCAGAACCCCCTTAGACCTCCTTCGACTACACTACTAGCGTATTAATATGTATTATATTTTAGTGGTGTTCATCGACGAACATAAAATAGTTAGTGAAACGGTAAATATTTTTAATACGTGATTTGAACATTTAAATATATAAGTGCACTACGCTAGTCTTCTACTAGGTTTAACTGTTTAACATTATTTAACCAAGACATTTTTATCCGACTCTACATATTTGCTCAACGTTTTATCGTGTCGATGTATACAATCATAATTGTGTATAGCACGTTTCGATATATATATATAAATATACGTATACGCGACACGACGTATCAACTTTTGAAAGCGTTCCGCGCTGCGTTATGCAATCGATGTTAAAGGTAAAAATAAAATTCGTAAATTAGTTACTCGAAACGCACTGAAGTTTAAGTATATCAAACTCAGGCGGACACGGCGAAAATAAAAACAGTGTTAAAGTTTACGGAGTAATATAAAAATAAAACAGCAATCGATTTACAAAGGCATCGGACGAGCCGTTTCGCGCTCATAATCCATATCGGGCTTAGCTCGGAAACACATCACAATCCTCCGATATGGATCGCAGACGGCCGTATACTAGTGATTAAAAACACGATTTATATAATATTATGTTTTGTAAAAATACTCGTAAGACGTACGCACAATATAAAAACACAGATTCGCGCACACGTTAATCGACTGAGTTCATGGTTAGACGATTAGCTCCCAACACTTACTAGGAAACTGTACGCAAAATATATTATACAAGTCCTTCGTTAATCCTACTTGATTATAATATTTGCTCGGATGGTGGTTGACCCGTTTGTAAGACTGTTCAAAAATCATTCGTACGCACGTCGTTGTTATTATATAAACGATGGATTGTAATGACACTCGCACAAACGGTTAGCACGCACACACGCACAATTAAAAAAAAAACACACACACACACACACACACACACACACACACACAATCGTAAAACACTCGCGAACGATTATAGGATTATAAACCTAATAACAAACGCATACAAATATTGTGTTAAACGCTATAGTGAAGAACGTTACGTTTAAAGGCTAATAAATATAACATATATCTATGAGTACATTAAAATTAAAAAGTAGTGAGTATTGTAACGGAGTTCAATCATTTCAGCGAAAAAATACCTCCCAGTTCCCGAGGAAAAATATTATATTTTAATATGGTTATTAAATAAATGTAAAGAAAAAAAATTCATATATATAATTACGTGTATCGACGGAATATACACCTAACCCGTTTATCGATGTGATGTATATATAATTGTTCACTATTTAACCACGTGCGGTCATTCCGTGTTAAATCATTTAAAGGACAAATACAATGGTCAAACGAATACTGTAAAAACTAAAAAGCTTTAAATTACAAAATTACATTGTGAAAATTGGAAAATTGCACCTCAAATTTTGTCTAAGGTAAAAAATTTTTTGACCGATCTTATTTCCATAACCAATGACCCGAGTCGATACAATAAAACATGCCTTATCTATACATAAACCGAAATTAACCACAGGCGAGATTTACATTAAAGCTTCTAATTATAAGTACCAACCACTTCTTCCAATGAAAATTTTTGCCCGGTTCTAATGTAATTGTTTGTACTAAATTTACCACATTTTACACTAGACAAAATAAAATATAATAAGAATTGAAGATCGACACATGACAAATTCCGGTCTTACTCATCTGAACGGCTTACATAAACAATTTAGAATCTACAAATAAGAATAAGTGTACAAATATTTTTAAACGATAGTAAATTGTATTATTCATATCCAATTTATTATTAGATTACAGTAGTATAGTTTTGTAGGTATATCATAAACGTAATACGCCTCGAGGTACGTAAGAAATCGTGATTTATTCGACAGCAAGGCAGCGGCAACGTCGCGTACAAATGTAATTTAATGAACAGAATCGTATTCTACTAGTGAATACAATAAAATACTAACGGATTCTAGTGTGCGCTGCCGTCGGTGGGTCTGCTGTTGATCGAATAGCAGCAAATATTTATAATGTTTTGTTATAACGGACCGGCGATACCGCAGTTGACCGAGTACACGATGAGAAAACAAGAAGACGTACATTCTAACTACATCTACCAAATAAACGTACAGTACAAGCAGTTGTTAATAAGCAATATTGGGGTTATGGTATTTCGGGTGTAATACATATATACATAGTAGTAATATAATAATATGGAGTATACGGACGACTCGAACAAACAAGAACCGTGCGGCTGTCATTGTTCGCGTCCGACGTGTACGTGTCTTTTCCGATATTTGTCGTCGGCGGGCTAAGGGCTCCGCGTCAAACAAAACGATGTTTTTACACGTACCCGGGTGTACAGGCACCGTCGTTGGCGACCAGAAAACCTGCGGAGAAGCAACCTGGTCAAAACTCTGGGGATCGTGGTGAAATCGTATTTAAAGAAGAGTGAGAGAGAGAGAGAGAGAGAGAGAGAGATATGAAAGAAGTTCACCGCCGTTACTCCCGGACTCGTATCCCGTACCTGAGCCAATGTAACCTACACATTAATTGTGATATTTTTACGATGACCGGAACTATGACGTACGTCTATATCGCACATGTTTTAAAACGTTTAGCCGTCCAACATTATTAGAAGATCCACTCGCCAGTAAAATAAATAGGCTTGATGTCAGTTTTAATCGTCTAACGATTCCGCGCTGGAATCTGTATGTGAAATTCTGACGAATTTGCAAACGTAATCAAAACGATTTGTTGACTTTTTGATATAAACACGCTTTTAACTTATCAAACCAACTTTTCAAGAGCGATAGACGATTGTTTCGATTCGAATAAATGTAGAATTATTTTCAATGTAATTAATTTGAAATATATTCGTATTGGTTTTCAAAACGTGCACGTTGCATGTTTTTATGAATTAAATTAACAAAACGTGTTTGTAGCCGATATTGTACAGAGATTTTTTAATATGGCGTACGGAGACAACGGAGACGTGTTGAAAATGTTATCGAAATCGTCCGAGATAAAATTTAACGCCTACATCGATCACGTGTAACTATGTAAGGACTTCAAAGGCGATTCTTTCACCCGTTAGGTGGGGTTTCAAAAATGTCGGTCCGCGTTGCAGTGAAAATCGATCATTGTGAAAATATGAACTTACGAACCGGTCGTCGCGTGATTTTTCCGGTAAAATATCGAGTTAAATGTGAATAACATAACGCGACCGACAATTGTACGCACAAACAGGTATTGCTGGGTCGTCCTGGGGCCTAGACCGAGCGGCGTGGCCTTTATTCGTGTTATATTGTACATTATTCGTTTGTAAAAAGGTTCGACTGGCGACGGGTTTTTTGTGCAAGACACGTACGAGTACGAAGAGCAACAATAAACCAAAGTGAACGCGTTCGTTATTATTGTTATATTATTATTATTATTATTATTATTGTTATTATTATTATTATTATTATTATTATCATCATCATCAACATCGCCGTAGTTCTCGTCGTGGTCATCATTATTACTTGGAAAACACTCGGACGAAACGCGTTTTTCAAACGTAGTACGACAAGGGTGTACAACACATCACGCTGCCAACAATGAATGCGATATAATATAACTCAACTCGTGTTATAAGCGTAGGTAATTCTGTACTTAAAATACATTACAATCCAGAGCGGTTACATTTACTACCCTATACATAAATTTATGATATTTAGCTAAGATAGATCTCGCACAAGGGATAACGTTTTGACGGGACTGTTTTAGAAATCGACTTTTACAACTAACAATAAGGGAATGAATGGGTTTTCAGTTTGGTCCCTTGTACCGTATGATATATGTCTACTACACGGTTTCGACAAAATATAAATTGTGCGCGTAAAATGACCACCACGTCGAGTACATATGATAAATATGTTGGTGCACATGTTTTCGTGACATGACGTTATGCACCTCCCAAATAATAATATACAATTACAGTACAACTATGGATCTATAACGTACCTATATATTACACGTAAATATCGATCGATACAATTTATGGTCACCGCTAGTGTGCTGGTTATTAACTATACTGTGTCTGCTATACCGTATTATCCGTACCGGATTCCGCGCTATTACTACGTCGTATATGTGCTAATCAAAACCCAATTGACAATACATATAATACATATACTAACGCGAAACATACGCTCACATCTCGTACCACGCGAACGTGTGGCGGAGATAAACGTTTCGTTGCAAAAGCCGTTGCACATTGTCGTCGTCGACACGCCGTTAAAGAATAATTATAAAAATATAGAAATATATGATTTTTTTTTTTTTTAAAAAAAAATAGTCACAAAACGCATTGTTATTATTTTAATTTTACGTCAAAAATAATCAAGAGAACTTGAAGGTCGCGGTGTTCTCTCCTTTTTTTCACGGCCCGCTAGACAAGAAAATATTAACGACAGACTACTGTGTGTAATACGCATGCGTCTTTATTGTCGACCGGAGACTTTACAAAATAATATATATACGTGTAGCGATTCTCGTGTAATAGGTATCGGGTCGTGTGTAAGTGTATACTTTTAAAAAAAAAAAGCTATTATAAATATGCGATAAAACTTACCCAGACGACAGGCTATTTGGCCACATAAGATGTCGATGACACCTGTAACAGAAAAATTAAAAAACAAAACATTAATAAACCACATACATACAATTTGATAGAATTTTTAACGTTAATATTATACAGGCCGGAGGACCCGAAATCATAAAAAACTCGCGGAAATTTTTTTTTTTTTAATTGCTGTATTGATAGAGCTAGGGGCGGAACTAGGGGGTGGAAGACGGGGATTCATCCCCGGGCGTAAAATTTTAGAGGGTATAATTTTTGTAATTAATAACAACTAATTTGATATTTTTAACTTTGTTAAATACTGATATTAGGTTTAAACTCAATGAGTATGATTGTATATTAGTTATTAGAAAAAAATTCTAGAGAAGAGTATTTGATTGTTAGTTTATGATAGGACGTAATTTAAACATTTTCTCCTGGTGTAAAAATTCCTAGTTCTCTGGATAAAGCGCTGTAAACGTATATTTGAGTACATAAAACTCGCGGTCAAATGTAAAACGTCGAGTACGCGCTACGAATGCTATCTATACATGGCTCGCGTCAAGTTTAATTTAATTTATCGAAATAATACACATGGTCTGTGTAGGTATTACTGTGCACATCAATAGACTATACATACAGTTGGTGTACGTCAATCGCGGTGTACGATGACGTCAATGCGAAAACGCGCGGCTGTCAAGTGGGCCGTACGTTTATACACGATTAGACGCCCCGTAATCAGATGCAACACAGGAGTTACGCGCAAGACCCGTTTAAAATAAGCCCTGTGATAAGTTACACAAAAATTGTATTCGGTCTCTTCGAGAATTATATTGCGCTAGTCGTTGGGTACTGAGCCTGCCGAAGTCGACCGGAATTTAGTTGTTCACGTTTATAATCTACGGAACGATGACAACGACGGAAATGCGATTTCGACTGAATCTGTACGGTGGTCCCATATACAGTATTTCGGCGGATACCATGGGGTTGTACGTTGTGCGCCATTCGCCAATGCTTCGTCGGGAAAACGTGCAAATCAAAACGGTATCAAATTACTATTTTACCCGCCTGATGTGTCGGATACATTCGAATACATGTGCTAAGACAAATAACATCGTCGGCACCGACGGGGGGGGGGGGGGGCGCAAAAATAAGTACGTTACGTGCAATAACGAATGAGAAAAACGTTCACCGCAGTAGCTCGTATTGTGCGCGGCGTGTGCACAGAGTAGGTACTTGTCCGGTCTTCGGCGCGCGTGTATTTATCGTACGTACAATACAGATGTACTGCTGCAGGTACCCGAACTCGAACCGCGACCTTCTCGGAACGCATTTTTTCGGCCATCGGAAAAATAATATAAATACGTGATTTTTAACACTGTACAATGTACACACAATGAAATAGAGGTGTCCTTTATCGGCGTGTCACGTTTCTCGATTTGACCGGTGTCCTCGACCCGAAGCCGCCGTTTAAAACACTTGGCTCGGAGGGGAAAAATATACGTATCGAATATATAACAATTGAAATTTCGCGAGTTCGGAACCAACAGTTTTGTTATGCAGAGGGTTATTCTGATTTCGATATTTTTAACCAAACGCAATGCGAAATCGAAGTGAATCGTACCGAACTTTCAAATACTTCTCGAACAAAATTATAATTTGGACACGAAATCGTTACAGTACATACCGTGGGTCACCGAAAGGCGGTGGTCCGCGGACAGATTTTATCCGGCCCGCAAACAATGAAAAAAAGTATAAATCGATAACGAAATACATTGGTTTCTTATCGGCGGAAGCAGATATTATACTTGTTGCCAAGCATATCTTATCGCCCGTATCTTAAAGTTTGAATGGGTCACCGTCTACGGAACGTGTCGATTACACGTCAACGTCAGTTCGTCAATTACTGCCGACTCGAGTTGACTTAACTCCTGTTTTATAACGTTATAACTTGCTTCGTTTTAATTTATATTCGTGTTACTTTTTTTTTTTTTTTTTTATGATTATGGACAAGAAAAAAGAATTGATGAATTGGAAAATAAATAGTTTTTGCCTGCGTGGACGGAATTATATTATTTTATTAACCGGACCGCTCGGGGGCATTGTCAGTTTGTTTTATTTACCATCAAATATAGTAGCTATTTTTTAATGTTTTCAATATTATTATTACGAGATTTAATACAGATAATTAGCTAAAAATTTTTTTGCATTTTATTATATTAAAAATATTTGCTTTGAATTTTGATGGCCCCCGAAAATTTAAAAACTGTCCAATGTGGCCTTTCAAAAAATATTAATTGGTGACCCATGGTTTATACAATGCGTTGAAACTAACTAAATATCTACTAGAACTAATTAAAATCCAATAGTATTATATAATTGGAACAATGAATGTTTCGCGTCCGTTGTCGCAGTAAACTTTTGTTCTACACAAGACTTGAAAATTGAATCGTATATATGCACAATGCATATACCATACGTACACGAATGTACAAATATTATGTTAAAATTTTATTGGAATTCGAGTGTTTTCGATAATACACTCATATATTGTGTGACCAAACGTGGTTTTAACAATGTGGTGTTTATCGATAACCGGTCGAGTGTCAACGCGGTTTATCGCCGCGGCTCATGCATCTTGAGAGAACAGTAAACACTACAGAACACCGCGATTACGTTATATTTGCCTTCGATTTGTCGAGAATAGATTGTTTTATGCAAAAGAAGATAGCGGACGGCGACTGTTTCAGATTAAATAATAGTGTTAATCAGTAGACCTCGGATAACAATTTATGTCTATGTAGTGGCGTTTCAATCTCGGCGTGCGCACTCGCGTTTATTATAATATACTCACGTGCCACTGTGGTTCCCGGTCGAGTGCAATATTTTTTATTATTTTCATTTATTTCATATGAATAAGTTAACATTCGAAACCACAATAGAAAATAAGTACCTATATATACATACACACTTAACTAAATTATTCGAAAGTCACATATTCCTTATCGTTTTTTCCACATAAAAATAAATACTATAATTATTTACTGTGTAAGATGGAGACGGACTTTTTTTAAATTCATTTTCACATAGAACGACGTCATAATGTTCTCGATATAGTGAAAATGTCCATTGATATTTTAATTGTTTAACAAACGCGCTTGTAACTCATACACCAAGACCCGAGAGAGAGTTCTTGTGCGATTTGTGGTTTTAATGATGACGATCGATTTTCGTCATCTAGTGTAGTGATAACGCATTCCACACGCGCGGTATCCAACCGTTGATGGACCCAAATGTGTATGTATTATGTAAGAACGTTACGTATGATACACGGACCTTTCATTGAATTTATAATATTAGGTGTTCGTATAAGAATAATGTCGCGGGCGAGTGAGATCGAACACTTTTCTTTCGAACACGCGTCATAATGATCATAAATAATATATTTATTATAATGTATACGTCATACGTGGAATATGAAAATATTATGTGTGTAGGTACTACCAGTATATCGCGGCCGCCATCACGGGTCGACGAGGAAGCCGCCATGACGTGTCGTTGCACTACGCACGAACGGGGGACTGCGCTCTCGCGAGAGGGGAAATTTTCTCCCCCGTTACACGCTATTGTCGTTGTTATTGTTTCGGTTTTTATTTTTTACACCGGCCCCCTAGTTTTCGAGAAAAAAAAAATTAGCCATCTAAGCAGCTGCTTTACACGCCAACAATGGGTGTGCGTATTATATTATATTATGCGTATACGTACGTATATACGTACTATTATACTACACGCGCGGGATAGAACGCATGTAACTTCTAGTCAAACGGACGCGTGTTTGCGCCCGTCCTGTATACGTAATATCGACGGGACGTGGACGATAACGGTCTGTAAGCGTTGTGGTGCACGCTGCAGTTATATATTATACACGTCATGCAGTATTGCAGCAGCCGCAATGGCGACGGAACCCGAGGGGGTGATAAGAACGTGACAAAGTCGAAGCTGGCCAATTATTTCAATCATCTGTGTACCACGTACAGAGGCGTCATTGGAGGGGGGGGCAGACTACGGCTCGATGTCCCACTCGAATGAATTGAAAAAAGTCGGCAATGTTCGATCATCACTAAAATAATTTATACTCAAAACCCTGTTTGAACTTCCTGGAGCTTTTATTGAAACATTAAAAATATTGACTACTTTATTATTTCCACTGGCCACTACAGCTACCAATGAACAATTTTTTTTCTTTTTTAAAACGCGTTAAATCATTTTTAAGAAGTGCAACGGGAGATGAACGATTATGTAAGTCATTCATAATAAATTTAGAAGGAGATAAAATAAAATGTTTACTTAAAAGAAACTGATATGTTCTTTTTTCATGTGTTCAAGAATCGAAGATATTCTCTAATAATTTAATGATTTTTAATATTCAAGATAACATTTTATGTTTGTATAAATAAATTACATTATTTGCTATAAAGTGCTAAATAAACAAATAATAAAATTAATAGTATTTATTTAATAAGATGTATATTATTATTTAATTACATTTATTCATAAGTAACTTATCGGGTAAGTAAACAAATTTATATTTTACTATTTTTAATGTTATTATTTAATTTGAGAAACAAAAACGATTATTGATGTAACCATAATTGTTTGAATATTATGAAGTTGGCAATTTTTTTTAGTTGCCTCACTCTTTCAAAAGCTGAAATTACGTCCCTGATCATGGACTCGTATTATAGAGCAGATACACATCGAAGTTTGAAGCGAAAAAAAATTTGAACATTAGTACCTAATATTGGTAGCCAAATTACGCGTATACTGCATTTGAATGTAGCCGAATACTTGCCGGATAACATTAGCCGATACTTGCGATAAGAGATTAATTAATAATAAATAATCAGATTAATCAGGGATGTCAAAAATTACTATAATAGATTGAGTGGGACAAAAAAAGAGTGTTCATCAACATTTCCGTAACACAATACCAATTATCTTAACACTAATTGTACCAGTAGACATGATGATAATATGGTAGTTCACCCTATATA